GCGGGGCTCGGCTCTAGGAGACCGCCGCCGAGAAAGCGGCCGGGTGTACGTGCCCCTCCGTGCGCTCGCTGGGCGCTGCTGCCTCTCCCTCTCGCCCCCTCCCCGCTGCTTAAAGGAAGAGAAGAAAAAGTGAGAGGGAGGGAGAAGCAGCCCTTTAACGCGGGTAGGAGGAATGAGCTGCTCTTCCGCGTCTTCGTGGACAGCGTCTAATGCTGCTGCCGTATGTGTGCCTTCTGAAAAGGGGCATCTTCACTTGAGCATAAGCTTCCTCCCGAGTGTTTCAGGATTTTCAGCACTACAGTAACCCCTCAAGTTATCCCGCTTTCTAGTGGTTACATGCATCAGGTTATCCCACCATGATTTGCGAGGTATTTGGTAGCAGCGGTTGCAAAAGCTGAAAATGGCGATCTTGTGCAAATCCTTGCTGAAGGCTACTGTCACTCCAGAGCAATCAGGGCATGTAAGGTAGTGGAGACTCTAAGCTTTGAATTACTGTGTTACTACTTGGTTAAAAATTTAGAGCTAAAAGTGTTAAAAGCAAGCAAAAATTCTGGCTCTGAAGAGGGTACCTGAAGCAGCCCTATAGAGAACAAGTACAGAAATTCCTGCAAGTCTGATTATTTCATCCACTGTATCCAGAGACAGTAACACATGCTCTCCTCTCCCCCTGCCCCCTTTTTAATTTAGGTAAAGGAGGTAAAAATAGGCGACGAGGTAAGAATGAGAATGAATCAGAAAAAAGAGAACTGGTGTTCAAGGAAGATGGGCAAGGTGAGTTTTTAACTATAATATGGCAATGCCATTGTTTTTGGTCAGATGTTGTAAGTGGTGTGCATGGGAAGTTGATACCAAAAAACATCCGGATGTCTGAAAAACACAAAGTATTGTGGAATAAAGAGAGCTGTTTGGGGGTTGTATTTGAATTCCAAGGGACATATTGAGTGTGGGAGGAAGACGTTAGGAAAAGGGAAATTTTAAATAGCTTCACCACTCGAGAATGAAGCATACCTCTTCTTGACCTTACGCATGTCTCCTCGACTGTGATGCTGTGTGTAATGCTGTATGTAGGTAACCATGCACTACAAATCCCTCGAGTAGCTCTTTGTCAGGGTCTGCAAGCAGCTGGTGTAGCTGATGTAGTTCAGGGTTGCCAGCAGCTCCTTGTTGTCTCTTGGGTGCACAGTCCTGATTTCTGTTTTATACCAGCCGTAACATTTCTGGGATCGTTCTGTGAGCACTCTGAAGTCACTGACCTGGCAGAACAGTAAATCTCGTTATTCTTCTGCTGTCCTCCAGTGGTTTGGTTGGATTAGCTCCCGGGTTGTGATGGCTAAGAGTTATTAAAACAGGAGCAATAGGTAAGGTCCTTACTTGGTTTTCGTCAGATAAAGTAAGCCACAAGAGTGTTCAGCTGGAGGGTGATGAGTAGGATTCCCATCTCAGACCTGGCCTTTGGGTGACAGTGAGCTCACCTTCCTTCTGGCTTACCCTGTCCTGTGCGTCACACTCCTGTGGTTGCTCAGATATGTATGTGAGTACTTGCCTAGTGACCAGTTCAGCAGTTGGCTTGTGGGAGTACAGGAAGACTCACTGTAAAAGGGGCAAAAAAATGAGAACTAATTTTTTAAGCTCTTTCTGATATACTTAGTTGTAAGCAGAAAAGGAGTCTTGTTTTGATGCACCTACAAAACTTAATATCCTTTTCAACTCCCAAGCAAAATCTGCTTAATGAAACATTATTCTTAGTTGTTACATAGTCTCACGTGGTTTGTTGGACTGTGTAACTTGGGCTAAGGAAGGATTTTAGAATACTGAAATACAGCTCTGGCTAATTGAGAATTTTAAAATTACAATTCTTAAAAGCTTTTTTCTTTTTAGTTCAGTAGTAATTAACATTATGCTGCAAACGTCAACAGTGTGTGTGTGTGTGTGTAAAGTATTTCAGTAGTGATTTGTGCTTGGTGAGGGAATAAGACTAAATGCCAAGTGGGAGATTGAGGGTGGGTATTGGAGAGAGGCTTCATAGTTCTCAGCAGAAGCCTGGTACTTTCAGACAATTGCTTTTCAGACAGTTTTCAAGAACATCAGAACATGTCATTCAAGAACAGCATATTTTTTTCCACAGAGCCTCTGCAGAAGGAATTTGGTGTACCAGGATGTGCTGCTTTCTCCTCCTTTCAGTGCTAGCACGAGATGCTGTCTGCTAGGACAGTCATGCAGTGCTGTCATAAACTTTCAAACTCTTGAGTATGACTTGATAGCTCAAAAAAATGATCCATAGCAAGCATTTCAGAGGAAACAAAAGCATGGGTACTACCAAGAATGAGCATCATTTGAACATGTTAGCATCAGCAATGATATGAAATGTGATACATTCAGCACCCTCCTGGCTGATCAAAGTTCCTCTCAGCTGCTCACCTTTGATAAAATGTTACAGCAAGCTTTGGTTAGAGCAGTAAAAGTTAGGAAGCTGTATTTGTGTAGAGGTTTTGTTTTATGTTACTGTCTCTTTCAGAATATGCCCAGGTCATCAAAATGTTAGGCAACGGAAGACTGGAGGCATTATGTTTTGATGGTGTGAAGAGGTTATGTCATATTAGAGGCAAACTAAGAAAAAAGGTAAGCCTCATAAACTGCAATGTAGAGCAGTGGCATTGTGTGTGATATGTAGTTGTTAAAAACAATTGTTAATATGTAGCTCATTATGGAAGTTAACATTTTTACTGTACTTAGTATATTATGCTTCTTTTTTTCATAGGAAACTTGTTTGTTCCTCTGTTTATATTGCTGGCACAAAAACAGGCAGTCTTTGGCTTTTGAGTGAAGCTTGCAGTTGAAGGGCTACCTTTGGATGTGTGTATTTCAGGGGAGATGTTTTTGGCTGTTTATGAAGTACTAATTTTTTATATTCTAGAAAGATTCGTGTATATGTGGTATTAAAAAGCTCCTGAATTGTAGGTGGGAAACTTGATGACTGTTTAGAACATCGGCATGTTGTGTCTGCAACTAGATGAGTAGTTATCTTAGCAAGAGAACATCTATTAACATGAAGACAGACACCCGGCATAGGAAGATAAAGGTCTAAGCAGAGTGTCCAAAGCCACCTGTTTTGTCTGCTCTTTCCCAAAACCAATACAAATCAGACTTTGATCTGGGAAGGGACTGAATAATTACATCTTCTCACTGGATGACTTACCTGAGAATAGTTCAGTAAGGGCTGTTTGGGAAGGTTTCTTTTTAGCTTCCCAGAGGTGCCTCAGGTGCCATCATTTTATTGTCTGCTTCATCAGTTCCCAAAATACTTTTATTTTTGCAGATCAGCAAAGCTGATCTGCAAAAGTTTGTACCGTTGGGGAAGTCAGGTGTATGTTTGCCATCTTTGGATGGTGTCCCCTCTTGCCCTTGCCAGATGGTAGAGCTGGTTCTGCTGATGTATGGTACAGAAGAGGACCTCTTAGTCTGTTCCAAACAAAAACAGGTGTTTGCTGTGTTCTTTCTGGATTGCTTCACCCTGCTGTGTTTGGAGACCAGTGAATGCATGTACCCTGGTGTTGCTGTGAGCCCTGCCACTTGCCTGCACTACACTGCAATAAGCTGTTTAAGATTGTGGAGAATGTGCAGAGTTAAATGGTAGAAGCTACAGAAAACATCACTTGCTTATTTCTCATGTCTAAAAGAAAATCTCAACTGAAACAGATTTTATCTCCAAAAAATGGCGTTGGTTTGACTTGTTAGCATACTCAGGTACTAGAAGCAGCTCCACTGTCTTAGGCTTCTCACTGTGCTTGTCCAGCACGCCCTTCATTAGGTTTTTGTTTTATTTTTGCCCTTGTGGAGCTCACTTCATAGACATGCATTATTTCTGTTTTCTCAGATGTTATGACTTAATAACCATCTAGAAGCTATTCAGAGAAGTTTGATTTACCTTAGTAATAGCTCCATTATGTGAAATAATGTATCTGTGAGTATTTATGATCTTGGTTCTGCTGTTAAAACATGAAATTGGGTATTCCCCGTTTACTGGTTAGAAAGTGAAAGTAGTGGCTGTAGTGAAATGTTTCACATCTTGTAGTAAACCTAAATGTGTCTTGACTCTTGTGCTATACAACAAAAGTAGAATTCCTGCATTAAAACGTCCGTTTTCTCTTTCAGGTTTGGATAAATACATCTGATATTATACTGGTCGGCTTAAGAGACTACCAGGTAAAAATTCAGTGTGATTTGTCAATGAGGAATGTCTTAGAAAGACATTTATTTAATGCTAAATTGCAGCAAGTGTCATGAGGAAATTCCCATCTACCTCTATTTGAATTTGTATTTATTTATGCTAAGTCATGACTTTTTAGTTTCCTTGTATTATAGAAAGATTGTCATGAGCAGGTGACAAATCCTGGTTCAACTTGTTCTTCTAAATTGCACGCTGAGGCTTTGTGAGTGAAGGTGCTTATTGGCATCACACCTGAGCTGTTTTTTCCTGGAAAAAACCTGTTTTTTCCAGGTGTATCAAACATCACACTTGTTTGATCGTGTGATGTAAGGGAGATTGAACCACACACCAAACATTTTATTGTGATAATCAGAATTTTTTGTTAATCAGAATTTTGGAGCCTTGATGTTTAGTTTTTTGTCTTAAGAGGCGAATTGATCAGTGATTAGTTTCTACTTAAATTTCAGAAAGTGGAGTAGCATGATTTATATATTCTGTGAATGTTAGCGTTGCATTGTCAGTTGTTGGCAGACAGGTTCTGCTTCTGAAACGCGGAGTTGTAAAACGTTTAAAGGACTGTCATTTACTGTATATATTAAACTACTGAAAGCTAGGAAGTTTTGACACTTTGACCACCAAGCACCATATTATGTGTATTCCCTGAAGGAAGATTGATTTGAAAGACATGAAACTGAACTTCTCAAATTACTTATAATGGGGAGAAAATTAACTTATCAACCAGAAGCAGTGAGGATATTCTACAAATGGGCATTTTTTACTTCACATTTAAAGGAACTGGAGGGGGAGGAATAAGATATTCTTCTGTAAATAACATAAGAGTTATTCTTCTATAAGTAATATAGAACTTACTAGTCTGCTGAGGTTAATTGGGAGGTCTTTTTCTTCAGAGGTGACTAATAAATCTGTTAAATTCTTACATAGGATAACAAGGCTGATGTTATTCTAAAGTACAATGCAGATGAAGCCAGAAGTCTGAAAGCATATGGGGAGCTTCCAGAACATGGTAAGAACCTTTTCACTTCAAACTGGAAGTTCACATTGGACAAGAATACTCAATCTTGATGGTGTGAATGCACTCCTTAACTTCTCTAAATTCCTTTTTAGCTAAAATCAATGAAACAGACACATTTGGTCCTGGAGATGATGATGAAATCCAGTTTGATGATATTGGAGATGATGATGAAGATATTGATGACGTAAGTAGTAAACATATATTTTTTTTATCATACCCCTGAAACTGTCATCTTTGGCAGTAAGCTGTTTTCTGTTGGTTTGGAGCAAGTAAAATAATGTGTTGATGTTCAGAATAGCTCACGTTCTCAGGGACTGCTTCAGAAAAATGGTTTGGATGTGTGCAGGCCAACTTTCTGTTCTCTCTTCTGTTCTACAGTCAGCCTCTAGTTGACCCCTAAGCAAACAGCATGCTTAGTGTCATACTGTGAAAACATCCATGGAGAGGAGTCGTCTCATGACCCTTAAGACACCCGAAAGCAAATCCAAGTCGTTTGGCCCCAGCGAGAGGGCAGCGTCCCTTCAGACCGCGGGGTGTGCGCACGTGTCCCGGGGCCTGCAGGGAGCTGCAGCTGCACAGGCAGCGACCACGAGGGTGCAGGTGGCTGTGTCCACCCTGAAGGAGCCCAGTGGAGCCCTCAGCACTGCTTGCTGAAGCGTAAGCTCCTTACAGTAAGCTTGTAGTGGAAGGCAGGGTAGATGATACGGGAGAGTTTAGCAGACTGGTAGGATTTCTGTGTGTCCCCTGCACGGCAGGCCAGAAAAACCTCTCAGGAAGCATGCACAAAGATTGGTGGGTCAGCTCCTGTGCCACATAGGGCAGCTGTGGCCAGCTCGGTCGAGACAGGACGAGCCAAAACCCGCTGATGCAAGTGACGTTGTGCACCAGCTGCTGGGGCAGGTCACAGGTTACAGAGGTGTTTTGGTGAACTGCGTGAACCTGTGTGAGTTTCACCTTCCCGAGCCCTCTGCAGTTTTAACAGCCTCACTATCTAAAACACTAGATGAGCGATTTGTGTTTTTAAAAAAGCAGCAACTTGAAGTCTCCATTTGTGTTTACATAAAAATGACTAAAAGTTGCATCTTAGTAGGTGCTAAAGTTAACCATAATCCTGAATTTACAGGTTGCTTCTTATCGCAAAGCTGTAGTAACTGACCATGCACACTCTTAAATTGTAGTAGTAAAATTGTAGTTCAAATTACAGGGTAAATTGCAGAAGTAGAATCTGCTGTGAGGTGTTTTTAAGATAAGGCACTTAATTTTGCAGTTGTGAGATGAATGTGTGCAGGGTCAGCTGGCTGAGAGGATAAGTAGTAACTTACGGAGCCAGGGAGTTCACTTAATTGGATAGATTGTTCTAAGTATGTTACTGTGTTTTAATTCTTCATCTTTTTAGTCCCTTCTCTCTCTGAGAGTTGGTAATATGGCTAATTCTTTTGAAGTGCTTACCACATGCATTTACCAAATGCGTTATGTTAACTTTTTTGAGGTTCTCAATATATGATGCATTACATAAATATTTAAAAAACATGAAAATCTTGATGAATTTTTCTTCAGATTTGGGAAAATTGCATTTTGCACCTGTCGGTAGTTGAGCCTACTGAAGATCTTATAGTTTGTTGAAGCTATAAGCACTTTCTAGTATGGCATGCTTATAATAATGAAGCTATTGTAAGACATCAAAGTGATAAGTAGCTGTAGGATCATTGAAATAATAAAATTTGCAAACTAGTGGATCTTTGTGTGGGATAATGTGTTAAAGTGAGCAGCTGTGATTGTTTTAACTCTTTGGTCAGCTGTCCAGTGTAATATTATTACCATGCTTCGAGAAAGGAAAACCCATGAAGTTGTGAAGATGTGAATTCACAGGAAATGTGAATAACCTCTCAGAGGATCACCCTAGTCTCCTTAGAATGAGGTGTGGCTTCCAGGGTCGTGGTTAATGTGAGAGACTTCGTGGAACCTTTCCTCTGTTGTTTATGTGAGAGAAATGGTTAGGAAACCGTTGATTTTGCCTCCAAACTAATGTGGATAGCTGCTACTTAGGGAGGTTACCCTTAAACTCCATTTTGGTTTTGAGAATCATTGGCTAATTTATGCCTGTACCATTTACATGTAATTACATTGGCAGAATTGCTCACGTACGTAGCTGCAGCATCGTAACTGTGGTGTTGGGCACGTGAGAGGAGGGTAACTGGTCATGTGTTAGGGAAATGAGATAGGAGCTGAGGTAAAACCAGTTCTGTACTGAGTCTGTGCAGAGTCCAGGAAGTCTGCTGTTGAACCATCAAAATATCTTAAAGGCAGACACGCTGGGTGAACTTAACTGCCTGTGAGTTAAATACCTGGTGCGGTGTTTTTGCTTTTCAGATCTAATCTGGAACAGAAGTTTACATTCCGACTTTCTTCCTCCAAGGATTGTTCTACATTGATATTTCAATTATTTTTTGGGTGAAGTCCCTTTCTTTTAAGAAGACTGAAAATTCTCGGTAAAGAGTGTAGTTTGTTACATCAAAAGGATTTATTTTCAATGTTTGTTTTAAACTATTTATATTTCTTTAGAAATGGATAATGCTGGATTATCACAAAGGTTCAATCAAATGCCACAAATATTTTCTCTTCACCAATTAGAGCTTTTACCTCTGGATGTAAGTGAGATACAGTGACATGGGCTGTAAAAGACTGCATTCTTCTCTCTCTGCTTTCATCACTACAATTCCAGTTAAACTTGTATTTTGAAATAAAATTGTTTACCCTGTAATTATCATGGATTTCAATTATATACAAATACCCAGTTCGGATTAGTATAAAATCGTACTATGCAGTGTCTGTCCTTAAAACCCTTGCCTTGATGTTAACTTTAAAAAGATTTTGATAATATAAAAAGGAAGGCAGAAATCTGCATTTACATTCATAATGCATGATGAATCTGCTTTTCACATCTAGTAGCATGCTGCTATTTTTATACTGATTTTGATAATTCAAAACGCTTGTTATTTCAAAGATGTAAATTTGCCCCAGTGGAGTGGCAGGGGAGAAGTAAAGGTGAAAAGCAAGCAGCATCTCAAATTTGCAGTTGTTGAAAACTATCTTGTCCACGTAGCTCTTCTGTGGTGTGAAGTCCAGTCGTCGAGCTGTGGTTGCAGAAGATGAACACTGGGTGGCACCCAACTTGCCACGGATACCTGAATACAAAACATTAACAGCTGGGTTTGTACTGAAAAAGACGTAAAACTAGTTTTTCCCCAAAGTGAATGCTTAACATTCTTGATATGTTAAACGTGTAGAATATTTTTACATAATAGAAAAGGTTATGTTAAGAGTAGAGTTTTATTTTAATCTTAAATTCCATACATTGTAAGGTACAACATTAAAGCTTATGTGGACTTTGAATAACGATATGAATGAGAAAATTAATTTGTCAAACATAGGAAAAGAATCTTTTCATCCCGAATAAATCACTGACACAGACCAGTGGAAAGATTCTTCTCCACCTTCAGACTGGAGGAGTCAGTTAAGAAGCTGAATAAAGACTAACATCCTCATGCAAATATTATTTTGTGGTAGACTTAGTTTCTTTGTCTTCAATTATGTATCTGACAACTCTGAGAGCAGGTTAATGGAAAACTTCCTTTTGTGCCATAACAATCTGATTCTTGACACTTGTATTCGTTATACAGTCTTTTTGGTATGATGTAAAGTGACTACCCCATTAGATAAAAACAAAATGGCTTTAAATATGGAGTGGCCTCATTGCTTTACATGATTTTTAAGGAGGAGTTCTGCGCTAGATTTGAACTTACAGAGCTTTTGCAAAAGTGTCTTCTCTTTTACTTTTTTTTTTCATTATAGTGTCTTATTTTCCTTACACGTGTCTGGTATCTTATTCTGGGGATAACATTTTCTCAGTATTAAGTAATCTTGCCAAATGTTTCATGGGTTTAAAATATTTGTTGTAAAAACTTATTCAATACTGGGAAAAGATAATATGAATACAACATTTCTATTCCACTGATCTTCAACTACATGAGTTTACTGTCTTTGTTTGCCTGTAAGGTTCAATTGTGAAGCAACAGAAATGCTGTAATGTTTCAGGGTAAGCTTTATAAACCATTCCCTAGTCCATTGGTTTCCTCAACATATTAAGCAGACTGTGAGCAGCACTGAAACTGGTTAAAAGCTCTCGAAATTGGTCTTGAAGTCCACATGCAGAAGGTCTCTCTTCTTTCAGTTGTGCTTGCAGAGAGGTTAGTTATTAAATTGTGGTGAATATTCACTGAAGGCACAGATACCATAGAAGTGATACTTGACAGAACTGGCAAGTGTCTTGTACATAGGGGACAAATTTAAAGGTCTCAGTCAGCAGTGAAGAGGAGTAGAAATTAACATGCTGCTGTTGTAAAGAACTTGTTTCATGGTACCAGAGTTCTCCAGGATAACAGACTTCAGCTGTGGGGCAAAGATGAAACTGTTCCTGGCAGAACTGGTTATGGTTTGCTCTGAGGTTCCTTCCAATCTTTACTGGTCTCGGGCTCATGTCTAGATCAACCTAAGCTGCAGATTTTTAAAGGAAATTTCCTATTCAACTATTAGTTTCTTAATAATGCCCCGGCACGACACCACCTGGCTTCTACTTTTGAGCTAGGTTGCATTGCCTTCCTTGCATACGCTCCCTCATGTTCTTTCTATGACCATTGCTAAAGGTCTTTCATAACCCAATAGAGGCAGCTTTATATTGTCCCTTCTTGATTCTTTTTTTTTTTTTTCGGGGGAGGAGGGGGAGGGTAGTGAGGGGTCAGATGGTGCGAACAGCTTGCCCACATAGCTCTCTTCAGTGTCTCCATGCAAAGAATAGTGCTAGGATAGCAGCTGCCGGGTAGAGGATTGCAAGACTGCTGACTGTAAAGCCATGAAAGGTGCTCCACCTGCATGAGCATTTTCTAGATAAATTTTTAATAATTGTTTAACTTTTGGAACTGCTGTCGGCTTTTCACCTTCAGTGTAAAATTGAAAGTGGGGATTCAAAAATTAATTTCCTGCAGCTAAAGTGTGAGCTTTGTGTTCATAGAATCATAGAATCATAG